CTTGAGTAGTCAACCAATTCATGGGATGCCTCGTTACGGTCGTGAAGTTAGGTATAGAGAGGAGCTATAATTTCCCAAATTATGGCTTTTGATACTCAAGTTATCCGTTATATGACGGACAAAAGTTCAGTACGGATTCATCGGTTTCACAAAATACATTAGTCACGTGTTCAAAGTAATTATTCTTCGGTGCTTGATGAGGCACGTCTTTTCAAATGAAACAAAGGCTACACTAGCAACATTCTTTTAAGGCAGTGAATCCCAAACTGTGCGCCACGAAATATTGTAAAAGCTTCAATTTGAGAAAACGTACAGCGATTTGCAGGCTCATCCATCACATTATTTATTAAATATTAATTTAATGTTAACAAAGTAAAAAAAATAATGAAGATACACGAGTTTTATTTATTTTTATCTCTTACTTACGAATAGTCATAATAATGGTAGGGCGCCATGGAAAAATTTTAATTGAAAAAGGCGCCGCGACTAGGAAAATTTGGGAACCACTGTTTTAAGCGCTTCTTTTTAACACAACTCATCTTCGCGAATACATCTAAACAACCGTGTTGTCTGTCGATTCTAATCAGTCGACAGACGAGTGTCAGGCCGGTACACCCGACATGGCGACACGCGACATGCCGTCTCCTCGGTTGCCTTGACAGGATTGGCTGACAGGCCTTTTGTGTCATGGAAACCGACCAATGTCAGCTCAAGTTGCGGCGACCTGTTCTGGCTGTACATTTGTCTCAGCTTATCACATTGGTCACCTGGTTGACGGCCTATCCAGGTCAGTCAGCTTGTACCATGCACCAGCAGTGTTGGTGGCACCATGTACGCACTTCATTCTCATCATCATCTTCATTTTCTTCATACTCTTCTTCTTCTTTCTGCATGATGAATTTCATTTGCCCAGACTTGTACACCTTGCCCCCCCTCCCCCAACTGACCGCTAGACCACTGGCTGTCTTCCGGAAACTATATAATCCCAGCGCCACCGACCCGAGAGCCAGTCCTTAAAGGGACGATTACGACAGAGGCCTATATCGATCTTGCTCCCGCACTTGATCCAACCGTACGAGGATGATCCAGGACTCAAAGCAGATGACCTCCAAGGGCCTCCACTTTCCCTTGCCTCTCTTCGTCTCCGCCTCCTCTGACGACAGCCTCAACTCCACTTCTTTGTCTTCATCGTCTCCCTTTAACATCAAGACTCTATCTACCCCAGTCGTTATCAACGTCTTTCATCCCTTTTCTGCGTCAATGACATCGAAATGTTCTCAAGAGGGCTATTCCGAAGGAGCAAAAGATTCTGAAGCATTGGAAAAACTGCCTTCTGCCCACTTTCATGCTCTGCGAATTGAGCTGTCCGCACGCCTTTGCCACGACCTAGCATCAGTACCCTTTCCACTCGACAGGGATTTTCCCCAATCGGATTCGTTCCGTCCCAGACTGACATCCAAGCCTGCGAAGGGCTTCGAGCAGACCGAGGGCATTTCACGACCCATTCTGCTGGTCGAGACCATGTCACTGGCCTTTAATGCGTTGAAGCGAAAAAAGCCTCGGCTTGCTGCACTCCTCAGAACCCGGATGTATCACAGCCGTTTGGACTCACTCGGTATCGATGATATGCTCTCGCAGGCGGCCAACGCTCTGGACGTCTGTTGCTGTCCAAAGGAGGCTGAACTTCTTGATCCTGAAGCAGATTTCAGCCTCAACTTTGCAACTCATCATAACGACGTATATTCTCTTTTCGACTGCCTGAGACGGGGGCGACGAAATTCGGCCAGACTCAGTCGTCAGACTCGAAGGACAGCCACCCTCGAGCAGCTCGCGATGGATCGTGGCTATGATAACACCAGACTCCCCAGAGCGCAGCCCCTGGAAGGCGGCTTCAGTGGTTGTGCTAAAACGCAAACTGCCCCACCCGAGGTGAGAAGTTAAGAAGAGAAGCTAGAGCCTGAATAGCCTTTCGTCTCCGTAACTTGGCGGTGTTTTCGGGGCGACCAAAAAGAAGGCACCATTTCCATTATCCTCTGTCATAGCACTGGAATGCGTACTTGACCAGCATCCCAGTCGGCATCGTCAGTCAGACTTGCCAATCTTGGCACCAAGCTACAAAGTAAAAGATGGGATGGAGATACGAGAAATAGTAGCACGATGGAGGGAGGAGATATGCCAGAAGTTTACTTACTGGATAAAGTTCACCCTATTTAATTCAAGGTGATGAATTTTTCCACAATGATATAAGTAGAGCATACACTTCAATTGAATTTTACATAACTTTGCTTTCCCAAAAGGTGTTCTCATCCCGACTGAAGTGGACATAGTTCTTATCAACACCCCCAGCAGGAGTCGAACTGTGACAGTACAGCATGTAG